AAGCCGTAGCCATGTCTGTTTTAGGGATTAGCTATCTTGTTTTAGCACCTTCTGTTTTTACATGAATGAAATAGCATCACAGAGGACCCCTCGCGCATGTTAAAAGTTGCCTAATTTCGTCATTTTTCACCAAAGTGTTACTGGCCCTCCTAAACATACTAAACGGAAATAAAACTTAAAAATCAGTTAACTCTTTATTTTATTTTTTTCAGTAGCCCTATTCCTCTACCGTATTGGTGCCCCGTATTTCTTCTCTGCTGGATTTGTATGTATTGATATTGTTTGGAACCATGGCTAATCGAGGTATAATTGATATTTGATATTTTCAAATGTCTAGTACTATAAAAATATCCATAGCTGTATATTGGTTATTTTATTTTTTTCACTAGGTACACAGTATTATATTGTTAAAACACTTTAAGTACAGTATTCTATTGTTCATCTTTTAACTTTTCACTATCATGTTATTCTTATACATTTTTCTAAGGTCCACATTTGTGTCACCATTTTTTCTATAATCTTTTTTTTCTGCTGTAAACATCAGAATTTCCCCATTGTGGGACAAAAAAAGGGATTTTCTATTCTATTCTATTGTTGACTGAGGAAAAAGAGGCAATACAAATTGCACATTTAATGATGACAATTTGTAAGGTCCATACCTTCAAGCTGCTAATTTTTTCCCAGCTCATTAAGGCAAAAAAAAAATTATCTAACCCTTCAAAGTAAGTCTAGGCCAATTACAGATTTCAGTGTTTGAAATGTTTGTCTTCACATCTGCCTAAAGGATCAATCACACCTGTCCTACATTTATTTATTTATTTTACAAGATGCTATAACGTGTAAAGGTGTATAAAGTGAAAGGTTTCAATGGCTTGATAGAGCAGTGTCTGTATTGCTGTGTACTTCAAGACAGCTGGCTTAATGAAGGTTTTTATACTTTTTTTTTTTTTTTTAAGAAAATGAATTTCATAGTACTTAAGAACCTAATGATAATGGAAAAATCCTGATGTGGAAACTAATGCAGTTCCGGCCATCACTCTCCTATTAAGGAAAGCGTTTTGAAACTATAACCTGCAAAGCTATGCATTGCGTACCAGCTGTCCAGCCAAATCCAGGATCTTGCAAACCAGGAGCATGACTGATTTCTAGCGATTGGCCAAAAAAAATCATCCAGAGTTCAAAATCCATCAATGTTTCTCTACATGCAGTTCTATTGATGATCATGCTTTTCAAACATTGTGTATTATTTTGAACTGAACTGAACTATTACCTCTTTTAGAATATTTTAGCACAGTAAGTGTTGAAGTCTCTTTTGATCTCTTAAATAACTAATGATATTACTGAAACTTCATATCAGTATGCTATATTTGTTTTACAGCTGTAGAAATAAACAAAGTATTTTTGTTTTAAGCAAAGGAGATTATATTGTGCTAGACATTTTAGCTTAAAATTTCAGCATAAATGCCATTATACTGTGCATCTAAGGCAGATGCCTCCTTGTAGTAGCCCTCATGAAAGCTCATTGGTCTTGAACAGAGGAGGCATGTCAACTGTTTACCTCCCGCTAGCCCTTGGTTAAATTCCAGCACACTCCAGACGTAGCCTGACCCACTTTGACCCTCCTGGTCTCCCCCATAGACATTTAGGAGCGAACTTCTTTATGACAGGCCCACACACACATGTGCCCACCCTCACAGACACACCCACTGCATGAAAGAGATGACAAGCGTTGCCTTTGCCTTGCATGTCTCCTCAAACTCTGCACCAAAAAAACGCTACTTTGTGAATAAGTGTGTAACGGATGCTGTCCTGCCTTTAGGAGGCTAGAAAGCAGGCAGTTGCTTGTCTCCATGCTGTCAGACAATAGTGTGCTGGCACACGTTTCAGAGCGGGGGG